TACTTGTCATCACTTCACATCAGCAGTAGATTGTCTAGATAGAACTAGTATAAGATTAAACTTAGTTGGTGGAACTCTAATTTTCTTATCCAGTTTTAAAAAGAAAATAGAATTGGTTAGGATAGATATATAGTTACATTCTCTTAATGAATAGAGTGATTTGTTCTAATGGTGTTTGTAAATAGGATATCATGTCAGCATCTTGTACAGCAATTAACCACTAAGAAGAATGTCTGCAATGTGTTAATTATTGAAACTGTCCTACCAATTTGATTTGAAACTTCCTCATTGCTATTTGTTTATCAATAAAATTATGGAAAAAAAAGAGTTCTCAAAAGAGCTAAGGATTTTGAATAAAAATCAAAAATTCTCCAGCAAACATAACCTGATCTATCTAGACTAACATTGAGTCTATAACTTTAAAGACAGAAGCATCTACATAATTGTCACAATTACTCCTCCCCACCTAAGAAACCCAGGGAAGAAGAGGGAATATCAGACTTAACTCTTACGGGGCCCACCAATAGTTAACTGGAGAACAGGAAGTGGAATTGGTTAAGAGATATCTGTTGCACACCATTATATGCATTCGCTTCCTATTTGTAGGTTTTTTTGTTCTCATGTACTGTCACTTGGTAAATCCTTTACAGAAACAAGGCAGTTAAAATTTAATTTGTCACATAAAGATTATTTTTTGTCTGATTCTATTTTTATTCACAAATTACAATCATATATTTATGGTGTCCAAGGTGATGTTTTGATAGACACAGGTTGTAGAATCACTAAATCAAATTAATTGGCAAAAGTACTACTTGCCTCACATGCTTATTTCCATGGTGAGAACACAAGTATCCACTTTTAGCAGTTTTCAAGTATGTGGTGTGTTGTCATTAACTGTCATCGCCATGCTGTAAATAAATCTCTTGAACTCACTCCTCCTATCTGAGATTTGCATCCTTTGACCAATGTCTTCCTTGCCCCTCCTCCTTAGTCACTGGTCCCTGCCCTTCTGCTCTTTGTCTCTATAAACTTGACAAAAACTACTTTCTACTTTAAGGTAGCACCAGCAAAACATTACTATAGGCCTGTGGACAAAGGGAGCATGCGCTATTAAAATGCAATATAATGCAGCTTTGTGTCTTTGTGCATGAGCTGGCTCTTCACTATTTCCTTGTTATTCCCCTCTTTCTGTATGAAGTCATTTGAAAGCGCTCTTAGGAAGAAAATTCTCTTTGCTTTGATGTAGGACTTAAAGAAAAATAAAGTGCCCAGCTTGGCTGTAGCTCACATCAAACAACATTGATTTTTACCTTCTCAACTACTAAATGCATTTCTTGACCTCTGTATCAACCTCCCAACCGATCTCTCCCTCTTTTAAGGAATGGTGAGAATGGGTTATCACTATTCGGTGGCCTCTCTTGCACCCTAGTGCACTGCTTAGCTGCCTTGTTCATTCACTGGCAGTTCAGAGGGTTGGGTATGCTCTCTCATATCTGCAAAAGCAATATGAATGTGAAATTCTGGCCAGCCCATAGTGCTTAGTTCTTTTCATAGCTAGTCAGGCTAGTGGCCTGCTTATAACACGAAACACTCTTTCTAATATACACTTGAGTACAAAAGAACATTGGAAAACATTTAGCACAACAACCCAATTTTTACAGGGTTCATATTGACATAAGAAAACACTCAGATAGGTATGGAATCATACACCTATAATCCCAGCACACTGGAAGGCAGAGGCAGAAAGACTGCGAGTTCAAGCTCAGCTTGGGGAATTTATGAGAATCTGTCTCAAAACAAAAATTTGAGAAGGTCTGGGGATGTAGTTCAGTGTTAAGGCCCTACATTCAATTCCCAATATGAAAGGGAGACAGAGACAGAGAGAGAGGAAGAGAGGGAGAAAGGGGAGAGAGAGAGAGAGAGAGAGAGAGAGAGAGAGAGAGAGAGAGAGAGGAAGAGGACAGAGGACAGTAACGATTTACATGTTAAATACCAGCCCAAGCAGATCCATCTATCTGTGTGATAGATCTATTTATATGATAGATCTAGGAAATTGGGCTCTCTGCCATATCATTTCTCTATTTTACTTGGCAATGTGCCTGACAGTGAAGGGCTAAATTTGGCATCTGTCATTGCCATTCCGGGTCCAAATTATATCATGCAAAATACCATGAAGAGTTCTGCATGGGGAAATCAGCAGCATCAGGGGAGTGGTTGGTACACTTCACATTAGCACAGGCCTGTGCGTGAACATTAGAATGGTAGCCAGATGCTTCCTGTAGACTTCCAGAAAGGCATAAAGTGTGGGGCTGCTGGGAACTGGAGGCACCAAGGAGAAGGATGCAGAAAGTACATAAATCATGGGCCAGATTTATTTCATTTGGCTCCCGACCTCACTGTGGGTGACAGGGCCTGCACCAGAGCCCATCCCTTCTGCACGTGATGCCTGCGAGGTTCAGCCCGTCAAAATCAGGCCCTGGACTCATTTCACACCCTCCCCTAATAACATCCTCGGGCTGTGATGTATTTTCATGTGTTCTCCCTATTATCCCTCCCTGCTTGAGTCTTACAGATAATTGATGATGCTTCAGTTAATCATCTTTCTCCCTCTTTTGTTCACCAGGTAGCTTGGCCTTCAAGGGGCTCCTTTATTCAGGATCGATGTCTTCTCGTAGGTAATTGATCACTGCAGTCCCGGGGATCCTCGATTCATCGTTGAGGGAGGGTAATCATCATGAATAATCAAAAAGCTGTCACTGCGCTCCTGCAAGAGTGTGAGCAAGTGCTGGACCAGCTCTTGGTGGCGGCGCCAGATGTGTCCGAGGAAGACAAGAGGGAGGACCAGCGGTGCCGAGGTGAGGATGGGATGCTTGCAGCAGGGTCAGCAGCAGGCCTGCCCCTCTGTCCCCCGCCTGGGAGACACGTTCTCATCTCCGCCCTATTTTTCTTCTCCTGGCAGATGACCACCGAGAGATGGGGAGATTTCTAGGGCATGAATGGGACCTGGGCTGCAGGCGGACAGACAAGGGTGGAAGCTCACTTTGTTGCAGTGAATTGCTGTCAGTTCTAATTTTAGGCTTCAGTAAACATGAGGCTACAAGAAACAGTTTAGTTCAACAGGAACAAAGAGTCTGAGTTGGCTGGTGCACGTAAATTTCAATTATTAAAAAAATGGAAGCAACTTCTCAATGGTGGCGTATACTTTTTTTTTCCAAGTAGGGATTTTGTGCCTCATCAATTTCTGTAGACTTCTGTGCTTTCCATAACTATGTCATTTTGCTGGTGCGGTCACTCTCTTCTGCATCACGCACGAGACCTTGTGCTATTCACAAACATAAATCCACTCGTCCCATAAGTCTGACAGCATGGTGACCAGAGTTCAGGCATCTGGCTCTGCTCCTTTCATAGTTTGTGTCATGCAGAGTTGTAGACCAATCATGGATGGAGAGGTCTCAGTCACAAAGTCTGAAAAGTTAAAAACAATTCTTATTTCTTCTTTAACTGGTTCTGGAGAGATATAACACTACATATATCCTGAAATACATTGTCCCTCTGTTTCTCTAAGTGTATCTCGTTTATGTGTTTTTAATATATCTCTTCCTATTTGTAGTACTCTGCCATAAGAGCTCACTGTAAGTTGCTCACTTCTTGTGTGCTCTGTTCATTCTGCCTCTGGAAAAGGTTCTGGGAAGGGCTTTCTCCCTCCTTCTTGTCAGGAGGTGCACACATTCTTATAGACACTTTTAGGTGCTGGTGGAAGTCTTAGTTACTTGTGGCATTTTCATTTTTGGTCCTTTCAAAATGAAATCACCTATACCTAGTCCATCCCCCACCTGCAGCTGCAAGCTTCCTTTCTGTACCATCCAGGGACCCCAGGGCAGGAGTGCCATGCCAGGTTCATGCTGATGTCACCCTGTGGTCTCAGATGCTGGTCATGGTCCAGCAGGACCTCGTAGGTGGTGTAAAAGAGGCAAATGTGTGTTGTGGGAAATAATCCTTCTCCGTTATGATGAAGAAACCTGAGAGGGCTAAACTACTCCATCCAAGGGTGTCCTGCTCCTAACTTTAAAAGTTCTCTGGAAGGACGTTTCCCTGTATCTTAGATACAACCTTAGAGGGTGACATTCTGTCAGCAGCAATGAGAGTGTTCTCGTAGAAAATGACCCTAAACTCTGGGCATGGCTGTCTTTTGGGGCATGCTGTGCAGACATTCTCAGCTGCAGAATGGGGTGCAGTTTCAGCATCCTGCTTATAAATCATCCCCTGTAATCAATGCAGACCATTCATTGGTGCGGCCATAAGCTGTCCCCTCAATGCCAAGGGGCAGTGGCCTTTCCTTGATGCCATGTCACAGAAAGTCATAGAGGACCAAGACAGAGTTAGATTTTTTCTTTCTTCTCATCTCTTATTTTTGGTTCTCTCCATCACATCTTTGCCCTGTTTAGCATATTTTACATGCACACTAAGACCGACCATGTCTTTCACCCATTGTGGTGTCATCCCTTACAAAAGGGATGAGACATAGTCCTCATCTTTAGGACAGTTTTAGCCCCTCGAGGTGGACATGTGATTATGCAAGCAAGGGGTAAAGGCTGAAGGGAGTGTGCTCCTGCAGGGTCATGAAAAGAAGTGGCAGGCTCTGGGCCGGATGCTGCTGGTGGTGGGTCTGACTTTCATCACCAAGGTTTTGGGTAAGGGCAGTGCAATCATTCAGAAGATGTGCAAAACTAAAGAATGAAAGAGTCTTACACAGTACTATAGCCAGGTCTATCTTGTTTTTAGGGCAAAAAAGATCAACAACATAAAAAATGAAGTAGATGGAGTGAGATTTGAAGCAGTAATTCAAGCCAAAAAAAAAAAAAAGTACTAGAAAGATAGAGGAAGAAAAGAATTTTAGGAACTACAGGATTTGATAGCTAAGTACAGTCAAGAAGAGAGAAAAATTATCTAGACTGCCTCTGGGGTTTCAAACCCAGGTGATGCTGTGAATTTTGTTTCTATTGATCAAAATGTATAATAGCAAAGGGAAGTAGATTTAGAAAAGAACTGATGCATTTAGTCAGAGATGGGTTCAGAAATTTATATCTAGGGGCCAGAGAGATAGCTGGGGCCAGGGAGATAGCTCAGTACAGTAAGTGCTTGCCTGGCAAGTGCAAGGTCCTGAGTTCAATCCCCAGAACAGAAAAAAAAAAAAAAAAAGAAAGAAAAGAAATTTATATCTCGTAATTATCTATCCATGGCTGCAGTCCCTATTTCAGAAACCTGGGAGTCAGATATCCTTTAACATTCAGACATTCCCTGTGTTGGGATGGTGTCATGGTACATGTACCATATGTTACATTCATAGAGCAGCATCTGAAGCAAACCTTAATTTAAAAAAAAAAAACTTTTCAACAATTTCATTCACTAAGATCATCAGGACTATAATAGCCCTCATCAGTTCAAGTCACATTTAGGTGTCAAATATAAGGAAAACAAACTTTCAGTCCCCAAAGCTTGGGGGCTTCTGGAGTTTGGATCGGATACTGTAGAACTGGTCCAAGTAGGTTTAGTGCCCATTGCGTGACTTAACACAGTTCCAGCTGTGAAATGGGGCCATTTCACAATAAATCGCATCCTCACACAGCTCACTTATATTTAGTTATATTAGTTGTCTGTGTCCAAGTGCCATCCACAGCAAAAGGATGGGATGGGGACTTTCTAAGAAACAAAACTCGGTTGAACAAATTGACTCTAGACACGAGCCAGCTGCCAGCAACCCACCGTGTGGGTCCTTTCCAGTCCCTTTCTCATTTTACATGGAAAATAATATTTCCTTCATTCCTGCCTCTGATTCTTCATGCAGGAATAGTCACTGAAGCACCTTCCTTCCTGCTAAAAACCTTTCTCAATGCCTGACTACCCCAATTTACCTGTAGGGCAGAACAGACCAAGGCCACCCCTGACTGATAGCCTCTTGCTATTATTCTTTGGGTCACAGCCAGCAGCTCAGGGCAGCCATCCTGAGGTGGGGACACACTGTTTTTCTCTGAAGGCCCTTCATCATAATGTGAGGGGCTCAGCCGCCTTTTCTTCTACTGCAATTCCCTTACCTGAACTCTGACCTTTTCAGCTTCCCTCTCCAGAGAGTTAAGGACCCTGATCCAGGAGGCAAAGGAAATGAAGTGGCCCTTCGTGCCTGAAAAGTGGCAGTACAAACAAGCCCTGAGCCCAGAGGACAAAACAAACCTGCAGGATGTGATTGGCGCTGCACTGCACCAGTTGTTGGTAGGAAGAGCCACACCACCTGTCCCCCAACATCCCCAGGGAGGGGTTTTGCTCTAAGTGGTCTCAGAGATTAAATTTCTTTGAAGCACAAAACAGCTCTTACCTTCATGGGCAGCGCTGCCATGCTGACCAACGTGGGAAAGTGCAGTCCCATATGGTCTGGTGATGGAAACCCAAGTCCTGAACAAATGTGAAGTGCTCACTGGGTCCAATGTGAACCCATCTCCCCAGAATACGGACGCACCCTCACTGGTCCAAAGAGTCATTTGACTCCACCATGCCTGGTAACATTTATATTTTGAAATGGTACTTCCTAAAAATTGAGTATCTTAAAAGAATCAAATCACCACTGTCTTATCAGTGTAACTCATTGTCTAAACTACTGAGGTCTGTCCCTCCCTGGGTCCCACCTGGGATCCTATTCACTCCCTCAGTGCCTTGCAAGTCCAAGCCTTTAAAGGCTGGCTGATTCCTCATTCAGCAAAAGTTAATTTAACTGACACCTCACCTGCACAGGAGAGAGCCTCAAAAGGCTGGCAGAGGAGACTGGGGCTGGGGCTCAGGTACTGGGGATGTCACAAGGAGCACTGTTTTCCTTTTAGGTGGCGTTGCTCCTTATCCACATTCTCTTGGCAGCTTATATGTATTTTTCTTACATAAAAATGTGTTTGTCAGAAACTAAGGCGTCAAAACAGTGACAGCATGCTAAAATGTTTGCTTTATTGGTTTACAAAGATTTGTGTTTGGGGGGGTCATCCAAAAATAAATATGTATTGGGCTGGTGAGATGGCTCAGTGGTCTAAAGCACCTACTTAGAACAAACTTAGCAAAGCACAGGGACCGCGGTTCAATCCCCCAGCACCACATGCCAGCCAGCCCCGCCCCCTGGTGGGCTGAGCTGGCCACACACACACACACACACACACGCACGCACGCACGCACACAAACAAATAAAATTTTTAAAAAATAAAATAAAATAAATATATAGACACTGTCTTTGTTGAAGCAAAAATATATATATATACATATATAGGAAAGAGTCCTTAGTCTTTGTGCACATAATAGTGTGCAAATTGGGACATGATAGTAATAATGAAGCCCCATCTCTCTCATCCTCCCAAAAAACAAACAAAAGAGGGCTAAGGATTACAGGTGAAGGGAAGTGAATACTTGGAAAGAATGCGTTGTTGAGCCAGAGGTCTTAAAATAGTGGTATTAGTGGAGAAATAGTGTGTGACCCAGTACTTGAGAGGCTGGGGCAGGAGGATTGTGAGCTCAATTTGACTGTGACTGAAGAAAACAAAACAAAAAACCAACAGTAAAAACCCTAAGAAAGGCAAAACACCAAAAGAGAAACAGAAAGAAATAATAACTATAATTTGCATATCACTCCTAAATTTACAAAGTGTTCACATTTGCATTATGTCATTTAATTATCCACATACGATGATTACCATTGTCACTCTCTGTCTTGGTTACTTTTCCCTTCTTACTGAGACAAACTACCCAAATTAAAGAGGAAAAGGTTTATCTAGCTCACAGTTTGTAGAGGTTTCAGCCCATAACCAGTTGGCTCCAAGGCAGGGTGGCATGGCAGAGGGCAGCGGTTCAAGGCAGCAGAAGACAGCAAGAGCAAATTGATGGAACAAGGCTTTTTTCTTTCCTGATATGATTAGCAGGCTAATCCCCAACCCGAGGGCAGGTGTAGAACTCCCACCGTCTCCGCGACCTCCTTTTGCACAGGATGGGGATGTTTACAAAGTGAGGGCCCTGGCCCTCCCTGAGTCACTTGGTTAAACTTCTGAACTTCTCACGCTGACACATTGAACAACATCCTAGAGTGTGGTAAGGGCGTGTCCTCTACACCCAGGGATGTGGAACTGTTGAAGTACTTAGTCAAGCTTCTAGACTCCTCAAGTTGACACAATGTATCAAACATTACAGTCCACCCCTTGTCAATTTAGCAAACAGACACATTTCTTTAAACCAGCTTCCAGATACAAAGACATGCTTCTTGGTATCATTTGCCAATTTATAACACAGATTTAACAATCCTTAAAAATTAGTATTAAGTCTATCAATATTATATTACATAAGAGCCATAACATTCCACCCCTGCCCTACAAAGACTATGTACCTCCCTTTGTGCAAAAGCTGTTTAATCCATCTTCTAGTTACCAAAGTCTCCTCCAAAATGTAAGTCAAACTCTTAACTGCAAGCCCTATACAAATGAAAAGAGTTTATGCCAACATTCAATGGCATAAGATAAACATTTTCATTCCAAAAATTATCCAAAAAGGGATACCTTAGTTACTTTTTTTTTCATTGCTGAGGAAAAATACCTGACACCCAGAATTAAGGAAGAAAAATTTTATTTAGCTCACAGTTTGTGGACGTTTCAGTCCATACTGGCTCCAAGGCAGAGTGGCACATGGCAGAAGGCAACAACTTATGGTAGTGGAAGACAACATAAGCAACAAGAGCAAGGGCTGGCAAGATAGCTCAGTGGACTAAGTGCCTACTTAGGCAAGCACAGGGACTAGGGTTCAATCCCTGGCACCAGATGCCACACCTGCCCCAGCCCCTGGTGCACTGAGCTGGCAACCGAGTCTGGGCGTGGTGGCACATGCCTGTAATCCCAGCACTAGGGAGGCTGAAAACAGGAGGATCACTACAAGTCCAAGCTGTGTAGTGAGACCCTGCACAAAATTTTTTTTTAAAGCATCAAGAACAAAAGAGCAGAGACCCAGTCCTAGCCCAGGTCCGGTGAGTGTGTGGAGAGCTTCCTGCTAACCTGCGCCGGTGGGACCAGTCCCAGCCCAGGCGCAGCGTGGGCCAGACCCTCTCCCACCCCCTCGGGCCGCCATACCTCCCCACCCCTCCCGCCAAGTAGGAATTTCTGCCGACTTCCGGGAACCCCCAGACCCAGTCCTAGCCCAGGAGAAGGATTATTCCAAGAAGAAGACCACCTTAATGCAACCCATCAGTAATTGCCACACAAAATATATCCTTCCTCCAGAAATCAGAGACCAGCCATGGGAAGTTCAGTATACACAGGATCTCAGCTATGCCCTCCGCTTAATGTACTCCTGGATTCAGCCCCTGCGGCTCCTGGCAAAGGAAGCTCATCGCCTGCCAGAGTTTAGCCCGTATCTCCGAGTTGATGTGAATCGAATTTTATTAAAAAACCAATATCTTCAAGGACTCATGAAGCAGTTTTGCAGTGAGTTTGCTCCTGAAGTCACAGACAATGTGCGTTCTGCTGTCTGGACAGATCTTCCATCCCTGCAAACAAATGATGACTCTGTTCGCTGGCTTACTGCTTATAATCTTCTCCACTGCTGGTCGAAGGATAGTGAAAACATTGCTAAGTATCTCACAGTGTTCTTGTGTGAGGTTCTTAACTATGATAAATGCTAAGATCGCACTTGTTCCTTCTGTTATGAAGATGGTCCTGAAGAATGGATCATTGGAGTAGCTTCTTTCACGTCTTTTAGCTTTTTAATAATCTTGGGGGGCTGGCGAGATGGCTCAGTGGTCTAAAGCACCTACTTGGAACAGGCTTGGCA